TGCCATTTCTAGATTATGCTTAGAAAGTGCTGATTTCTGAGGAAAAGAAGGTTGCCAAGTAAAGCTCTGGCTTGTGATCATTAGTGGAAAAGGAATTAAATAAGGCCCTTGCAGTCATAAGGACAACTTAGAGGGCTTTGACTCCAGCCACCTTGCTGACTTGGATCTGGCCCACTGTGTAACTTGCTGGGTTCTTGCATTAGCAGTCTGCCTAGGCTAAGGATGCTGGGGGGTTGCTCTGTCCCCAGCAAAGATGCTCTAGCTGCTATGTTCTAGACTGTATGGGGGAGAGAAGACCTAGTTATATGCAAGAGAAGGTTCTGGGCTTTTTTTTGGCAGGGGTTGAGGGGTGGGGACAGGGTCTTATATAGCCTAAACCAGCTTTGAATTCAACATGAACTCAAGGACGACCTTTATTTTCTGATCCTCCAGCTTCTGCTTCCCAAGTGCTAGGATTACAGGCATGGGTCACCACAATTGATTTATACAGTGCTGGGAATCGAACCCAAGGATTCATACGCGCTAAGCAAGCATTCTACCAACTGAGCTACATCTCAGCCAGGGTTCTGGACTTCTGAGGCTTTGGTTGTGTCTGTCCCTCAGTGGTGAGTATCTCTGCCTCTGAATTCAGTCACAATCAACTTCTGAAACCCAGAAGAGAGCTTGTGTTTTGTGCGTGCATGTTTAGATGAATCATAAACTCTAGGAAGAGATCCCATAAGTATCCGAAAGCATGGAAAATACCATTTTGCTTTGAGATTTCAAAAATCACCTAGACTATTAAAACATAAGCCACTAAAACAGCCCAACTTTAAGAGACACATAGATTCAATTAATCTATCACATTTCAAAAAAAAAAAAAAAATCCAGCAATGACTGAAAAATACAGGCTGCCTTTTGAGTTTTGAATGCTGCTGCTCCAGGGCAGCACAGACAAAAGTCCCATTGTCTACAAGGACCCTGCTGCTTCAAGGGGTCTCCAGAACATCCTCTTTTGATTCCCAAGTAGAGCAGATCCCTTTTGTCACACAGCAGCCTTCTATGCTGCCCATTCCTCATCAGGTTGAGCCTCACAAAGTGTGGAGTTTTGTGAGGAAGACGCCAAAGAGTTTTTCATACAGAAACAGAGGGTGACAGGACTCCATCATTCTGTGTCTGCAAGGCTGAGAAGGGCTAACTATTCACGGGGTGCCTCAAGGTTTTTCTATGAGCTATCTATGGGGAGGACAAACTAGAGAGTAAGCAGAGGGTCTGGGACCTGGTGACCTTTTGTTCCTGGGAACTTCTTTTCTGAAGCAACCAAATGGGACCTCTACAGGCAAGGGTGGTGGCTTCTCCCTCAGAACGCCTGGCTGGCTTCCCAGTGTGAAACATCCCCCAAATATGCAACTTCTTGAGTGTCCCAGAAGCTTAAGCCAACAGCCACCAGCTGCCAAAGAGCTGGCACCCATGAGGTGCTGGGTGTGGGGGCGCGACAGGTCCCCAGCCAGGCTATGACTTTGCCAGATGCTGGGCAGGCCCAGCCTCTGTTTATGTGTTCTGTGGTTGAATCTGGCGAACAGTCCAGCCACGACAAGTGCTGGAAGCTTCTCTTGCTGACTTTAAATCCCCTCCTTCATTCAGATCAATCTTATAAAAAGGCTTTTGTTGAAAGAATGGCCAGGGCACCTTGGTGCACATACGTTGGCTGTGTCTTTCCTCCCAATTCTTGTGAAGACGGACAAAAAGAGCAGCACTAGCTGAATTCCTGGCTCGACTGGACTGAAAAGTGACTTAGGAAGAATGGAGGTAACTGGCAGCTGTCACTTGGCATTTGTTCTTTTTGTAAGTGTGGAAGCCAAGGAAGGAGAGAATGTCTGATGGATGGTAAGAAGCCCCTGGCAGGGAGCAGCTGGCGACCTCTCTGTCTTGGTTGGGAGGGGTGGGCTGTGTGGGCAGGAGCCTGGCTGTGTTGATTATTGTTGCTTTGGAGGGTGTGGTCAGCAGCATTGCCAGTCAGCATGTATGATCACTTAGCAAAGAATGGGCTCTGATTTCATTGTGGACTTTTGAGGAGGGGGCTGCTCTATGAACCAGTTTGTTTCAGTTTGCTTCTGTAAATTCCTACAGAGCACAGTTAATGACAGTCATACCAAGCTTGATGCTCTGAGGTCCTCACATCCAAGGTATGATGAAGAAATCGCCTTTCACTTCTTGGTTTTAAGTGTTAGCTTCATGTTGCTTCAGTTCCAGGTCTTTGAAGAGCCTGAAGTCTTTGTTCCCAGGAAGCCACGGATGGAAGGGCTTCAAGGCCACTTGATAGAGAATGAATTTATGTGCTTTGCTGGTTTTCACTATATCATTTGCTTATTTGAGTTCCTTTTGCTTTAGCTTTAAATGAAGATGGTTGTCGAAAGCAGAAACAAGCAAAACTCCAAACAGCAATTTCTAACTAACTATAAAATACAGCATTCATAATAAACTATATTTTCTGTGGTTTAGTTTAGTTTTTTTTTTTTCCCACAAGTCTCAGTTCTTTGCCTGCTCAAACTGTGAACACTGTTCTTATTTGAACTTTCTTGATCTTCAGTCATCTAGAGGAAGACATTTCATGTTTCCACTAATTTTCTTTTCTTTTGTGTAGAGCTCTGCTCCCAGCCGTTTTGCTCAGTATTCTCTGCTGACCTCGTCCTTGCTCCTTTAACCACATCTCTGATTTTATTCCATCACCCTTTCTCCTAACTCTCCTTCAGCACTGGATGTCTGTTTCTCTAAACCAAGCCCCAGTATTAGCACCACGGGAAGTGACTCAAAGCGATCCAGAGCCAGGCAGCCTGAGGCCAGACCTGGGCTTGACCCTGACTAGTTGTGTGATCTTGAGCTCATCATTCTCTTTGGTAGACTCTGTCTTGGACAGTAGTGGGAGCTGTTCATAGTACCATGTCAGAGAGCTTTTGAAGGGGTTAAATTAAATTGTGTATTATCTCAGAACAGTAGTCTCTCTTAACACCACTATTGCTTAGTTTGGGTTGCTTCGATGATTAGAGTTAACGGGTAAATAGTAGCTGTTAGGAAAAGCAGGACAGGAAGAGAATGGTTGATAATGGCGATGGTGTTAAGAATTCCACCATGTTGCTGTTTCTGCAGTGTCTCTCTGGTCCTTGGTGACACAAAAGGAAAAACCCTCCTTTCTAACCACTTTATTGAGATAGTTTGCATACCAGGCCCCTCACCAGGTGAAGTGTTCTCTTCAGGAATTGTTAGTCTATTGCATTGCTGACTCTTCAGCTTGTAATAAAACACGTATGAAACAAGATTTGCCATTTTATCTATTTTAAATGCAGTGGTGGTCATTACATTCACAAGGTTGTATGAACCATAACTTCCATTTTCAAAATGTTTTCATCACTCCAAACATGAAATAGTACCCAGTAAGCCATAGCTCCCTGTGTCCCCTCCTCTAGCCTCTGGTAACCACTAACCTTCTCTTGGAGTCTGAATTGGTCTATTCTGGATATTTATAGAAATGGAAGCATATCATAACTTTTGTCCTTTTGTGTCTGGCTTATTTCATTAAGTGTCATTTTTTTTTAGTATCATCCTTTAGCATTATGAGAACTTCATTCTTTCTTGCCTGACTAGTATTCCATTGTATGGATAAACCACATTTGTTCATTATTTATAGGCAAACATTTAAGTTATTTTACTATTGGCTATGGTAATAATGCTGTAATTTATGCTGGCATGTAAGTATTTGTTCAAGTTCTTGCTTTCAGTTCCCTAAAAATGGAATGGTTAGGGCCGGGCGTGGTGGTGCACGCCTTTAATTCCAGCACTCGGGAGGCAGAGGCAGGCAAATCTCTGTGAGTTCAAGGCTAGCCTGGTCTACATAGTGAGTTCCAGGACAGCTGGGGCTACAGGGAGACCCTGTCTCAAAAAAGACCCCCCCCCAAAAAAAATGGAATGGTTGGTTCGTATATAATTTAATTTAGCTTTTCCAGGAACTTTGAACTAATTTCCTGGTAAACAATTACTTTTGGTCATTCTGTGTTTTTCTCTTTTGATGTCTCACTTAGATTTTCTTCTGTTTCCTCCCATCTTTCGAGCTTCTTTGTACTTCCAAGCAGCAGACATGTTCTCCCTCCCAACCACGTGGCTCCCTCCCACATTTCCGAGGGAACGCCCCTCTCTGTCCCTTGGGTATCAAAGGCTCTGGACACATTCATTTTGATGGCTTTCATCCCATTGTCAGGCAGGGGCATATTTGCAGAGGGGCATCCATAATCTCAGTCCACTTCAATCAGCCCTATAAGGATGCCCTATAAGGATGGCCCTATAAGGCATGGGACATCGGGCATGTGGAGTCAAAGGCCTGTACAGAGTGCCAGTCCTCCTTAGGCAGTCTTCCTCATCCCACACAACACCTTGCTTTGTTGTTCTCCGTCAACTTTGTCTTAGGCAGCACTGTGACCACCCGGTCCTATAGGAGGGTTGTTCTCCAGTTTTCTGAGCAAGTGAATTAATTAGTGAATACCCCAACAGACCATGAGCCTGCTTCAGACAGCCATTCTGGCTGTTGGGTTAATTGTTAGCTGGGTTTCTGGCCCGTCATTCACTTCACAATAAGGGTCCTAATTAATCTCGGAGCAGTTCTCACCAGAAGAAAGGCCTTTAGGGAGAAACATCCCCAATTACCATGAGAAAGGAAATGTCAAGGGCCCGGTTGAGTTTTCCTGGCATCCCTGCCTGGTCTCTGATGCAAACCGGCCATTGGGGCAAGAGGCTGCTTAGCTATCCACCATGAAAGACTAAGTGTGCGAGTCTGGGGGCCCCAGGCTACAGCCACCCAGCTCCAGGTCAAGCCTGCTGTGTGTACAACCTCCTGCTCAGTAGCACTGCTGCGTTCCCCCGTCCCTGTGCCACATCTGAGGCAGAAATTCATCTGCTGTTCCAGAAGCCAGCCAGCAGCTTTCGTCTGGAAAAACTAAAGGTTTCTTCTTTGTGTATTTTTTGTGCCTCAGGACAAAAGATCCTTCATCACCGAAGTGACGTCTTAGAAACCGTAGTCCTGATCAATCCTTCAGATGAAGCAGTGAGCACTGAGGTGAGCATTCAGCTCCGAGGGGCCTCGGGTTGGGGCCTCCTGGGATGGAGACTTGACTGTTTAGAGGGGCTAGACAGGTGGGGCTAGAGAGGGACGCAAGAAGTCACTGTCCCAGTTTTCCCCTATGCCTGGTCCCTGGTTCTTTGCATCTAGTATCACCCCAGTGGGGACCCAGTGGAAAGAAAGTGCCAGCTGGAAGCATAATATTTGTGGAAGAATGTAGAATTGGGGGCTTGCATAGGGTGGGATGTAGCAGGGGAAATAGACTACAAGACCTCAGGCTGGAACATACAGGAATAGAACTCAGAGTAGAATGGCATCTCAGTTGTACCCCGGTTCAGAGCTATCCAGCCACCCTGCCCCCGCTTACATTGAAAGGCCAGTACAGGCTTCAGGAGCACAGACAATTCCCAGGCCAGATCCCTTGGCTTCATCATCCCAGCCCTGCCACTTAGAAGCTGATGGCTTCAACGTAGTATCTTCTGGTTGTTTCAGGTTGCACCTCTGTGAAATCCCTACATTTAACGTTCCCACTTCATGTACTCTGACGTGCTGGGCTTAGAGCAGAGTGTGGCAGCAGTGGCTAAAATGTAAATGTTTGATTGCAATTGTATTGTTAATACCACATGAAATTGTTGCCAAAGAGAGGAATTGGGAATTTCAGGGCCCACTGTGACATAATTGGGTAGAAGCCAAGAATCCCTGGTCACTCAGGCCAAGGAATTGAAAGAGTTCCATTTTCTACTTCCTTGATTACAGTTTAGCACCTTAGAGATTGAGTTGCTTCTTGATAGTACAGTAGCCAGAAGGCCCTGGAAACATCATTGTTTACAGTGTTTTCTGCTCATGTTTTGAGCAAGCCTTTGATTACTTTGTTTATTTTTCAAGTTGGGATGTAATTCATATACCATAGAATCCATCCTCTTTAAAATGTATCATTTGTGATTTTTTTTTTAAGCATACTTACAAAGTTGTGTAAACATCCCCACAATCTAATTCCAAAACCTGCCCACCATTCCCTAAAACTGCCTAAACCCGTTAGCATTCACTCCCTACCACATCTTGGCTTCTGGTAACCCTATGTTCTTTCTCCAGATTTTCTTAGACATTCCATATAATTGTAATCATTCAACATATGGCATTTATGTTCAGCTTAATTTACTTAGCTTAATTGTTTCAAGATTCAGCCATGTTGTAGCATATGTCAGTTCTATATGAATGCCTTTTGATGGCTATATAGTATCCTTTTTTATGCATATACCACAACTGGCTATACATTTCTCAGCTGTTGGATATTTTGGTTGCTTCCACTTTGGGGGTATTATAATATAGTCTCTTTTGACCCACTTTTGCCTGCTTCAGATTAGCAAACCTCTTTGACAATCCATTAAGGCGTGAAGTTGCAAAAAGCATTGGCAATCTCCATGACTAGCAGATCCAGGAAGTAATTGCAACTTGAAAAAGCTGGGAGATTAATATATGTCCAGGCAGACTGCCTAGAACAGCTGTGAGAAGGGAAAGACAAAAATTAAGGAATGCTTTTTTGAGGAATCCAGGCTAGCCTGTGGTTCAGACAGGACTGAAACAATTGCTTAGGTACGTATGTTTTTCCATGATTGGCCTGTGGAGTTGTTGGGCAGAGGTCATGACCCGTTTAGTTTTGAATTCTCCCCAATGGGGAGCATGATGTGGGGCACATAGAATGTGCTGAACATTCAGGAATTGGGCTCAGAACGAGTACCTTGGTGTTGAGAGTAGTGTTTCTGCTAAAGGACAGCTGGCTTCCTGCCATTTAAAGTTCACCAAGAGTTTAGCACAAACCATTTGCAATTCAGTTTCTCAGGTTGCTATTCAGGGGTCACTTTTTCTTTATGTTCAAGGTCAAGCACCTTGCTGGTAACGCTGGAGTCCACCTTTGGCATGGTGTGCTTGCTCTGGCTTGGAAGGAACAGAATCCTGGACAGTGAAGGGATGATGCCTAGAGACCCTCTTTGGAAACCTGTCATTCCTGGGGGAAGTTGGGGGGCCTGGACTGAGCCTGTGAGATACCCACAAGTCTCTCCTGGCCTCATAGGCTGCAGGCTGCTAACAGACACTTCTCAACAGCTGTGGAACAAATGCTTGCCAGCTGTGAAGACTGCTTTTGAAAAGAGGAAGCTCTAGGAAGAAAGTCAACTACCACTCCTGTTTTGGTTGGTAAAATGGCATTCATGGGTGCACTAGGTAGCCACACTGATACATTTTACAGATAACTCCTACAGCCAGGGCTCGGTCCTACCCTCCCTGCCCCCACTCCCAGCAGAAGAAATTAGACTCTCAGAATGAAGGTGTTTTGTTGGTAGTAGGCTTCCTGCCCTGTCCTGGTGGTGGGATGTGGTGCCCCAGCGCTCACACTGTGTAGCTGCACTCACGCTCTGGGCATGCGCTGTGTTTCAGGTCCGCTTGATGATCACTGACGCCGCCCGCCATAAGCTGCTGGTGCTCACCGGGCAGTGCTTTGAGAACACCGGGGAGCTCATTCTCCAGTCTGGCTCTTTCTCCTTTCAGAACTTCATAGAGATTTTCACCGATCAAGAGGTGGGTTCCCCTTAGTGGGCGTCTGACCTGCTTTTTGGATTCACGGGTGTGTTGTGCGGGGAGGCAGGAGGGGCCCCTTTAAAATGAGCAAAATCGTGATAAAAAATGCCTTAGTCCTGGGGTAGATCATTGTTATCATCCATAACTGATTGGAACCACTTCCAGTGTGCTGGAGACTTACATGGGTGGTGGGGGTTGAGATAGCTCAGCATTTACAGGTGACACAGTGGTGAGAAACTTGAAAGGACAGAACCCCAGAGGAAACCCAGCTTTCCTGTTTTCTGAAGGAATACTCCATAGATCTCTTTGGCAGGAGTCACCACCTTCATCTGTCAGAATTTCCACTACTTTTCCTGGCCTAATTACTTCTGACTTCTCTTACTTCTAATGCCTGGACCCAGTGTTTAAAGTGAAACTGTATGAACAGCCAGAGAGAGAGACCTAAACAGAGACAGAGAGAAGGAGGGAAGGAAGCATGTAGGAAAATTAAGCACGTGGTTGAAGTAGCCAGACTGGAGCTGCACTATTACTATTTCTCACAAATCTGTATTATTCAAGGATCAAAGGGGTGTGGCCACACATACCTGTGATCCCAGCACTCAGGAGGCTGAGGCAAGGGAGTCACAAGTTTGAAGTGCTGTCTGAGTTTACATAGTGATCTCTAGGCCTGCCTAGGCTGCATAGTGAAACCCTGTCTCAGAAAAAATAAAATAAAATAAAATAATAAAATAAAATAAAATAAAATAAAATCATGCTTGGGAAACTATAGAAACATTTGTGACTTTTAATAAAATCAAGTGAAAGATTTTAATTTATTTCTGCTTGAGAATTTATCCTTCCTGGGAAACTTACACCATCATGTGTCTTTATCATCTAGTGTGTTTATAGCTGTCATAGAACACTGCTATTAATAGGGCCATCCCCTCAACAGGTTGGGGTCTGTGGCTAATGAAAGATTCCTAAATGGTAAATGGAGAGGCTGAGGGATGCGGGCAGGAGTTACCACATCCATTTACTCCTGTCTCTGCTGGGATGACAGACTGCCACATATGTGCTAGGAAGGACCATGAATCTTTCTGCATGTAATCTTCCTCAGGCCCCACTTCACAGAGAAGTCTCTGTGTGCTTGTCCTCTCCGGCAAGAGCTCTAAACAAACTGTCCAGCTTCATGTGGTTTACCCAGTGACCTTAGTAAAATCCTGGTCAGATGACATAACAATTCCACCCACAGGAGGGGGTAGGCAACACAAAACTGTGGAAAGGACATTTTTATTTAGTATTCCAGCTCTCAGAGGAGGTGTGAGGTCATCTGAATGTAGAGACACATAATCCTAGCTCCCCAAAGTGAGAAAGGGATCCCTAGCAGTCAAGTGACTCCTTCCTTAGGGCCTTAGGGCTTACTCACAGCTGGTCTGTCTTTTCCACTTTGAGATGAAAGCTTTGGGTTTCTCCAGAGCTTGCCCTCTCTTTTCCTCCAGGGCTGAGTCAAGCATCATGATGCATTGCATTCACATGTAGTTAAAAACCCAGTGATTCATTGTAAATGCCAGAGCAAGAACTACAATACAATTCTCATTCTATGCATTGCCCTGAAATTGGTGTAAAATCACTATAATGTCAGATCTTTTCCAAGTTCATGTTGTATGCAGGGCACTTGGACATTTGCCTAGCATTTCAGACATTAACATCTTGTTCCAGGGTGGGTAGTGGGCTATAGGGGCCTGGAAGTGGCCTGTGTCATGGTGGACAGTCAGTGATCTCCTGGTAAGCACAGCTCAGCCTTGACTCATTTACATGTACATGGGGGCCTTCCTGCGGTCCTGTACTGTTTCGAAGTTCATTTGTAGTGTTTGGTTTCTGCCCACATCATGGGTTTGTTTTTTTGCCATGAGACTAAACCAAAAAAATGTGTAAAGAAAAGCATTTTATCTTTGCCAAGATTCTACATCTGGACCCTAAATAATCCCCCTCTTCTAAGATAAGGAATATTGTAAATGAAGCTACTTAGATCACTTTTACAGATCATGGAGATGGAGGTTTTGTATAGCAGGCTGTGCAGGTGTCAGATTTTATCATTCATTATAGAATAAAAGAAATAGCAACTTCCCCAGGGTTTGTAATCATGGAGGTGGGTTGTGAGGGACTCCCATCTTCATTTTACCCAGGCAGCCATCATTGAGGCCACAGACTGTCATAGTCACCTTTCCTGCCCTCCTAGCCCATCCCTACCCCAATTTCCAGAGAAAGTAATGCTCAATGCACATGAACAGATTTCCAAAGTCTTCTGTAACAGACTAGATGAGTGCCAGGGTGGTGGGGGAAGGTGAGACAAGGTGTGCGGAATTCATGCCTGCCCTCCTGCCCAACCAGAGCAACTCAGCCTTTATCTCTTTTACATCATAGACAGAAAGCATGCCACAATTACAGTGGATTGAAAACAACTGAATTAGGCCAATGGATATCCATCTTTGGAGCTTTGATTACCTATTACTGTCTTGGAAGAAGGCTTACAGAATGACTCAGTATGGGTCATATGGTGGCGTCCTCCTTTTATTCAACCCTGAAACTAGCCAATTCAAAAAAAAAATCAGAAATATAACTTTAGAAAAACAAAACACTTTTTTAGGGTGGTGCGGGGGCGGGGGGATAGCTAAATATAAATGCACTGAGAGACAGAACCATCAGAGCCATCACAGAACTTCAGAGTTTTGATGTCTTAATCATCAAAGGTCAACTATAACTCTGCCGTTCAGACAGAGCAGTCATTTCATCAGGCTAACCCAGTACTTCTTGAATTTTAGGTGAGGTGAAGCCATTATATCCTGGGGCCATTTTTCAACCTCTCCATGAGGAAGTTTTTTCTTCTTATTTCATTATATCTTCAAGAAAGGAATGCATCCCCATTTTCACCTACATCAACCTTTCTAACCATCCCCTAAGCTAATCATCTTTGGTTTTATTCATAGTTCTTCATAAAATATGAAAGGTTCCTTTTGTTTCCTGTCATAGTGGGTATGGGGGAAGTCCAAGCACTCAGTCCTGGTCTTTCTTTGACACCTTGTAGTTATTAGACAGATGGGTATTTGAACCCAGAGCCAGGCACGCGAGTTGGCTAGGGATACTCATCTGTAATACAATTAAAAAATATTTTATTATTTTTATGCATATGAGTATATGGCTTGCGTGTATATGTAAGAGCACCTGTGTCATACAGTGCCTGCAGAGATCAGAAGAGGGTGTTGGATCCCCCAGAACTGGAGTTACAGACAGTTGTTAGCTGCCATGTGGGTGTTGGGGATCAATCCGGGATCCTCGGCAAGAGCAGCCAGTGCTCTTAACCTCTGAGCCATCTCTCCAGCCCCTGAAATCCAGTTTTGTATAGGGGTATTTAAAGCCCAGAAGATAGATGTTGTACTCTAGAGAGAGAACTTTATTATGAAGAACTCCAGAGATTGAAGTCAAGAAGGAGGAGCCAGCAAGAGATGCTTGTTTCAGGCTTTTGATCTGGTTTCTCTAAAATGTCATGACTGGGATGGAGGTGGGGTGTAGCTCAGTGGTAGA